TAGGGAACTGGGTATGTTTAGCCTGGAGAAGAGATGGTTAAGAGGGGTTATGATAGCCTTGTTTAAGTATTTGAAAGGGTGTCATATTAAGAAGAGAGCAGGCTTGTTTTCTGCTGCTCCAGAGAACAGGACCCGGAACAATGGATGCAAGCTATGGGAAAAGAGATTCCACCTCAACATTAGGGGGAACTTCCTGACAGTAAGGGCTGTTTGACAGTGGAACGCTCTCCTTTGGAGAGTGGTGGAGTCTCCTTCTTTGGATGTTTTTAAACAGAAGCTGGATGGTATGCTTTGATTGGGACTGCATGGCAGGGGGTTGGACTGGATGGCTCTTGTAGTCTCTTCTAACTCTATGATTCTATTATTCTCTTTCTTTTTGTTTCTTCTCTGTTTTTCCTCCTTCTTCTCCTACTGTTCCTTTTTTTTTTAAAGTCTAGCCTCAAACATTTTGGTGCATAAGGCAAAGGACCAGATTACAACCCCTTCCATTCCATGTACACAAAACTAACCTGACCTCCTTCAATAAAACTGTTGGGACAACATTTTCCATTGATCAAGATGGTTGTTACTGTTATTGTGTATCATCAAGTCATTTCTGACTTATGAGACCCTAAAGTGACCCGCTGTCATGTGCCTCCAAGTCATTTTTTACTCATAGTGACCCTACAGAGAACACATCATTGGGTTTTCTTGGCAAGTTTCTTCAGAGGGGGTTTGTCATTGCCATTATCTGAGTCTAAGAGAGTGTGACTTGCCCAGGTTCATCGAGTGGATTTCCACGGCTGAGCAAGGATTCAAACCTTGGTCTTCCAGTGTACTAGTCCAGCACTCAAACCACTACATCACACTGCCTCTTGGTCATGAGGGTAATAGCCTTATTTCAGAGACATAGGGTCAATGGTGTGATACACTCAGCTCAGTACCAGTCCTCCAATATCTTATTAATGCTTTCCAGCCTCAGCATCAGACGTTTGATATTATTGCCTCATTCTGCCCTGATCCTAAAGAATGGCAATGAAAATGTTTATGGTATCAGTAGTGTGCCTCATTGTTCAGTCAATATGCAACATGTTTACTTTGAAAAAAAATATATGAGTGAATGTCTAACTGATTAAAGTTGTCCACTGCAATATCAGTTACATATAACAATATCAGCTACACATGACAGGGTCTAGACAGTCTGGACCTCAGAGGATCTAACTATCTTGAAAGCTCCCACAGTGAAATATAGGTTGACTTTACTGAAACTTAAAAGGGTTGCTTAGAATATATGAAAACACACTGATAGGTTTTCTAAACTATTTGGCAACACAGATAGACAGTGCAACAGAGGTAAAAATAAAGTATAGTGCAAATTACTTGAAAATATCATAATCGATTACTTCCATTTTTCTTCTGCCAATCTAATTAGTTTCAGCTCCCTTCAAATAATTTATTATGAATGATCATTTCACACACACATGTACACAGACAAACACATTATATGAAGAAAATCTCATTTGTTTAAAATATAATGCAAAAACTTTGCTCCCAAAAGATACCCATTATGATTGTTAAATATTTTCTTGATTAAGGTACCGAAATAAATTCTGAATGTATAATATCTGTATTTGATAACCAATTATACTTGATATACATTTTGAAAACAGACAATATTGTGCAGTATGTAGCTGGCATACAGTTATATTGTACATTTAGTAGTAGGGGTAGTAGAATATTTTTAAATTTTTCTGTCTACAAGGAAAATTCCTTTCTAAACACACATTTGCCAAAGAATGGGTACACTTTCACAGAAGCTCTGTTCCTTGCATCTGACTGCAGCATGTGCTAAGATGCTACTTTTATAGGTTTATTTTTTTAAGGAAAATCATTTTTATTTATATTAAAACCTTTTTTCCCAAAAGAAAGTGCAAAGCCTCTCACAATTCAAAGGAAAACAAATACACTGATATCAAATCTAAACAATATTAAAACATTGTGAAAATTAAAAAATAGAGTTATCATATAACATTCTATTACTTTTCAATACCGAAGTGAAAAATAATGTTTCAGTGAATGTGTGTATATGGTCTGTGTTTATCTTCCTTTGATTCACCTGTTGACTTATGATAATCCCATGAATTTTGTAGTTGTTTTTTTTGTTTGTTTGTTTGTTTTTGGACAAGGAACACTCAGAGGTGCTTTTGCTAGTTTCTTCCTCTGAAATACAGCCTACAGCACCTGATGTTCATTGGCAGTCTGCCATCCAGGTACTAATCAGGGCTGATCCTGCTTAGATTCCAAGATCATACAGGAACTATTGCCTTTAAAATATTTAGGCCCCGGATGATTTAATGAATAAACATAATAAAGAGGAAAACCATGATGATCAAAGGTCTGGAAACCAACCCTTATGAGGAACAATTTAGAGAGGGGTATTTTAGCTTAAAAATATATATATGAATGAACATCATGTAGAAGATGGAGTAACCTTGTTTTCCACTGTTTCCAATGCTAGGATTCTCTGTTTCTGTGAAAATATGTACAGTCAGCCCTCCTTAACCACAGATTGCTTATCTACAGATTCAATCATTCACGGCTTGAAAATATTCCCCAAAAATATAAGGTCCAAAAAGCAAATCTTGATTTTAGTATTTTATACAAGGGACATCAATTTACTATGCTACTGTATTTAATGTGACTTCAGAATCCATAGATTTTGGGGTCCACAGGGGTTCCTGCAACCAAACCACACTGGACACCAAGAGCCTATTGTACATGTATTCAACCATTCATACAGTACAAACATTTCAAAGAAGAATAAAAAGGTGCTAACAAAGCAGAGGAAATGTCCAGGACTACAGAATATATTGGCTCCTAGTCTTGTGCACACACCTGTTGCTTCCCCCCCCCCAAAAAAAGAAAGATGTTTATAATGAAATTGTTGGAAATGCTATGCATTGCATTGTCCTTTCCCTCCTTAGACAGGGACTTCCCTCTATCTATCCCATTTTATCTAAACATGTGACTTCTGTCACTCACACTTGGAGGCTATTTAACAGACTCTTTCTCAAGATTCTAAACAGTATCCTCTCAGTACAGTAACTGTCTCCTTTCAGTCTCAGGTAAGTAACAGTCTCCTCTGAGTGAGGTTAACAGTCTATTCTTGCTATATTAATGATACTAATATTTCATCTCTTTTCCCAAATCATCACCAGTTAGGATAAGATTAAGTTTGTTATGTATTTATTTATTATAGTCATTATTATTTGTTTTTAAACTGCAAACTGCTTGTTTGTTGGTTTTTGGAGGAAGTCTTTATTTTTTAGGAAGGCAGATTTAGAATAAATAGTCTGACCCAGACTTTTGCTGTTCTGCTGATGAAAGCTGAACTCTAATGAGTTTAACTTTCATACTTTCATATTTTTGTTTCCCTTTAAAAGAGTTAACACCCTGGGAAACTCAAATTGTACCCCATAAAAATTAGCCCTAAAGGCCTCCCATACTCCCAGGGGCTGTGAGAGCAATTTCAACATGTTTTCATTGGTGCCTGAGCCATCTTAGATCCAGGAGATGCCTTTTAAAAAACAGAACATGACCCAGAAGTCCATTTCTTTGACTATAGTTGACAGTTGCCCTACAACTGCATTGAAGGGTGCATCTGCACTGTCAAAATAACACAGTTTGACATCACTTGAAATGCTGTAGATCCATCCTACAGAATCCTATTATTTGTAGTTTGACAATAATAATAATAATAATAATAATAATAATAATAATAATAATAATAATAATAATAATTTTTTATTTATAGCCCGCCCCTCTGCTCGGCAATTGGGGCAGGTTAGCATATTAAAACATACAAAGTTAAAAGCATTCCCTCATCCTGCAATCTAACCCTCCCATCCCATTAAAACAAGATTAAACTATTGAAGAGTTAAAATACAATAATATAATTAAAACAATAAAAACAACAACAGCAATAGAGCAGGCAGCAATGGACAGTAGGGCAGGCAGCAGCAGGGGGAACAAATGAAAACCATCTCCCCTGAGCCAAAAGGTTATTCCAGGAAGGCCTGCTGGAAGAGATCCATCTTTACTGCTTTTTTAAAAGCAGCAAGGGTGGTAATGAGATGGATCTCATCCGGCAGGCCATTCCATAGTCTGGGACCGATTGCAGAAAAGGCCCTCTGGGAGGTCTGGGACAGCCTGGTTTTTATTGGCTGTAACAGATTCCTCCCAGAGGACTGGAGGGGGGGAACATATGGGGAGAGGCGGTCCCTAAGATAAGATGGACCCAAGCCATGTAGGGCTTTAAAGGTCAAAACCAACACCTTGTACTGTGCCCGGAAGCTAATCAGCAGCCAGTGGAGGGATTTAAGCACTGGTGTTATGTGCTCCCTCCTAGATATTCCTGTAATTAATCTGGCTGCCATATTTTGCACCAGTTGTAGTTTCCCGGTTAGGCACAAGGGTAGCCCCATGTAGAGTGCATTGCAGTAATCCAAACATGAGGTTTCCAGAGCATGTACCACAGTTTCCAGAGCCCTCATGTCCAGATAAGGGCGCAGTTGGTGTATCAGCCAAAGCTGATAACAGGCACTCCTGACCGTTGAACTCACCTGACAAGTCATGTGAAGCGACGAGTCGAGGAGTACCCCCAAACTTGGAACACAGTCCTTAGAGGAGAGTGTGACTCCACCCAGGACTGGAGACTAGATATTTAACCTTCACAGCCAAAGAATGCTGATGCCTCACAAAACAATAAAGCCCAGGATTCTGTAGCATGGAGCCATAGCAGTTAAAGTGGCATCAAACTGCATTATTTCTACAATGTTGATGCACTCAGATATCGAGGCGTGGTCTAAATCCTATTGTTAATTCTGACTAGAGTGGAATTATTGAATCAATTGGATTTAGCTATCCGTTGACTCACTATTCTACAATGGATTTAATGGAACTAGTATAATTGGGACTAAACAGCAAGATTCCAGGCAGTATGTAATCATTCAGGTAATATTTTTATTTAATACTATTTTACACCACTGTATAAATAATGGTACTAATACTGTTAGTGTCATCTAGAGCAGAGCCATTAAATGAACTGGTGTTACCTATGTGTTGACTTATCTCTCAAGTGGCAAGAGCCAGTGTGATGGCACGAGCCAGTGTGGTATAGTGTTTGATGGCAAGAGCCAGTGTGGTATAATGTTTTGAACGTTGGTCTAGGACACCAGAAATGCAGAGTTCAAATACCTACTCAGCCATGAAAACCCAGTAGTGACCTTTGGCAAGTCACATTCCCTCAGCCTCCAAGGAAGGCAATGATAATAATGATGATGATGATGATGATAATAATTATAATAATAATAATAATTTATTTATAACCCACCCAATCACAAAGAATCCGGGCGGGTTACAACAATAAAATACATAGAATACAATAGACTTAAAAAATTAATCCCTTCCCAACCTCCTAAATGCTAAAATTACAATTAAACAAACATTATTAAAAACAAAAATACAAAAGTTTAAAAAGTAGGATAATTGGTAGACAGAGTGACGTAGATCACTTTGTGCAGGAAGAGGAACTAAGCTGGGAAACCCTCTGAACAAATCTTGCCAAGAAAACCTGTTGGAAATGGTTTGAAACCATACAACAACAACAACAACAACAACCTATAGTTAGGACTCATCAACAGGATTCCAACCTACATATTAGTATCTGGTATGTGACACCAACCCTATAGAACCTGGATTTTGGCATTTCAATTAAAATTTCAATCAAAATGTATATCTGAATTTTGCTGAACGTTGAATATACATGAATATCCATTTCAGCTGCTTTCCACAGAAGATCACTGTGTGATGCT